ACGGGTTACCTGTGTCGGTACACCTGCCAAGCAAAGCAACCAAACTCTTACCTTTAGGTCTTATCAGCGATGAAACTGTTTAGTTATAGCAAAGATTCACCCCCACTGGAATTGCTTTGAAGGGGGAAACAATGAGGACAAAACCCATTTTTGCATCAGGATGTGTTAATGCTGTTGAGCATTTTAACGTGGGAGTCTGTGACGACTGACTCACTGCTGGAGCCAGCCTCAATTGGTCATTACTGAGGTTCCTGCTTGGTTGCAAATTAAATCAGACTCTATATAAGCCTACAGCAAACAAACTATCTCAGTTAACATGTTCCTAATAAGTTTATGGCCTAAATCGCTAGTTTCAAGTTTTCTGCAACACTGCATGTTCTTTGAATTGTAGATTATGCCCCCATTTAAAGTGAAACAGACGATGCAGCTGAGTATGCACAAAACATAAATCGATAATAATAAAAACATTTTAAATTGTAGTATGAAACTGAATATATTGTATTTATCATTTAATGTAGTCATCTTGACTATAATCCTTTTATGCACCAGCCTGTGAATTTCTATGATATTCACAAAGTTTTATCAGCCTTATACAACACATCACTTTTAAATAAATAAAGATGGAGTTTGCATCAGTCAGTGAGAATTTGATTATCTCCAAGCAGAGACCTCCATCACTTGTATAAATTGAAGTGGTTTTGCTCTCCCAGGAGCTTCGTGGTAGAGGATGTTTATCTGCAAAGTCCTGCGTGATGATGCTTGATGTCGTCTACGTTACTCACGCACGTCCTTGTGACTGCTTCCTCAGTGCTTGCAGCTTTTCTCGATGAGTGGCTTTAACTTCTAAGGCTGCGTCTTCATCGAGGGACTGTCGAACGCAGCTCTTAAGGTGGCTGATGCCAAACCCGGTGATTGCAGAAACGGGAACCACGTGTCTGAAGGTCAAATAGTTCTGTGGTATCATATCTTCAGGGAGCAGATCAGAGAACTCTGTACAGGGGAAAGAAAAGGAACAGAAATACTCTCAAAACCAATTTTTCCTCCCAACAAACTGCAAAAATATGCTCACATAAAGGAAGTTCAGATGCATGAAAACGAAAAAGTCATCATGCCGCTTGTGTCGACATCTGACAGAGCAAACGGCATGGCTCAGACAGAGCCAGAGAAATGTTTGGAACAGACTAGGACGCCTGTGAACCCTGGAAGTAGAAATCCTAAATGACTTTTCTACTCATAAGTGCTAATTCTAGTCTAACCTTCTGGGTTTTGTAGTTGCTCCTTCAGCTCTGCTAGCTTGTCCTCAGCATTAGGCAGGTCCATCTTATTCACCACCAGTAATGCAGGCTTTGACAAAAGCTCCTCTTTATACAACTCCAATTCCTTTAGGCAGCAGTCAGAAAGCAGAGGAGAACGAGGGACAAAAAAATAAATAAAAGGAGCGAAGATTGAGTCAGGAGATCAGAATGAATATCTAAAAACTAGTCATCAGCCTTTGCAGCTTCAGGCTCACCTTGGTTAGAAGCTGCACAGCTTCGAAGGCTGACCTAAACGGTGTTTTACTTGCCAGCTGAAAACCACAAACATCGACCTGCATTCAGACAAAATGCAAAATTGTCATCAGAAGCAATTTTCACCTGGTTACACCGAAAGCAAAAACAGTTTGTGTTAGTTACGCACCACAAATAACAGCTGCTTGGTCCTCTCCACGTGTTTCAGAAATTTGTGGCCCATGCCTTTGTTCATGTGAGCCCCCTCAATCAAGCCAGGGAGATCAGCAACAGAAATCTACACCCGCCCCCCCCCAAAAAAAGAGCAAACAATCAAGTAAGCCAAGTAAAAAGAAAAAAGAAATGTTTTCGCAGACAGTTACAGCACAAGGCAACACGTGGAATTCTTGTACCTGCTTATAATCGTCATATATCAGTTTGCCAATCTCTGGTTTCAAGGTTGTGACTGTGAAACGGCAGAAAAATATTAAAGTTTAATGAAACACAGAATTATTTCTTCTTTCAAAGCATATTTTGAGAATTTAAAAAAAGACACGTTTTCTTTTTCTATATGCGTGTGGTTGTCTTCTCACAAGCATAGCTGGCAATCTGAGGCGTGGCGTTAGACAAGGCTGTCAGCAGAGAGGACTTTCCTGCATTCGGGAACCTGGTGTTGATTTAACAGAACAAAATCAGATGTTCCCCTTTGCTAATCTGAACCTCAGCAGAATTCAGTTAGTGTGGTTTGTTCCCCCTCTATTCTCACCCCACAAGGCCCATGTCTGCTATAAGCTTGAGGTCCAGTCTGATGTGTTTAGCCTCGCCTTTACTGGGCTGAAACGCAGAGTACAGCGAGCCTCCTGATCCTCCTTTTGCCACCATCACACGATCGCCCTCCACATTCAAGTCACCTTGTAAGAAGAATGGTAGAGGAAATAAGAAGCTTCACTGCAAAAGTCAGGTAGCTACTGCACTGGCAGTTCTTTTTCTGTTAGAAAAAACAAGATTCACATGACTGACTGTGAAAGATTTGACGTACCGAGTGTTCTGCTTTCATCAGTGGTGACGGTGATACCGACAGGAGCAAGGATCTCCTTGTCTGCCCCTCTTTCTCCTTTCAGAGCTCGAACGCTGTTGATAAAAGAGATCCAAACAGCTCTCACTCTCTCGTGCTTACAGGACTATTTCAAAACCTCTATGAAGGTCTGAAAAATAGACATTTTTTAATGATCGACAGAATTTAAAATAAAAATTGTATTTCTACCCGCTGTTGGCTCCTGCGTCCGCTACAAAACGTTTTTGTGGGAATTTGTCCTTTATCCTTTTTAAGGTCATGTTCTTTGTCGCCACCACCCAAACATCTCCCCCTTTCCCTCCTTGACCTCCAAGGCGGGGTAAACCCATCCCTCCACTGCCTCCACGGACATACAGCCGCAGATTGTCAACAAAGTTTCCATACTGCAAAGAGTCAAAGACACAGACTGGTATTAAGAAATCGAAGAACACCAGAGATCCTAACAGGCAACTTCAAGTGATTGAATCTTTCAAAAGTTTTACTGACATCATTTACCAGAGTGCGACCTACATATCTCACAAGAATAATGAAATCTGACAGCAGCTTGAGCATCCTTCGTATTTTCTTCAGTCCACTCAAGCTAAACAGTAACTCATATATATTTTATATATGAGTTTAAATATACAAATATGTGCCTATGTATAGTCTATAGGGGCTTTATTGTTGTTTTACTGTTTACTTGATGTACTTTATTTGTGTGTATGTACTTTATTTTGGTAACATGACGTAGTCCATACAGAAAACTTTTCTGGGTTGACAGGTGTATTGATCAGTGGCGCATTGATGAGCAACTAGAGTGCTCAAAAACTCCTCGAGGATGGCACGTTCATATATGTGCAGCCACAAAAAAGGTTAGCCAAGCCTCCCAGCACAATATCAGGAGTGTGGATGAGACAGCAGGAAATTGATATTTACTCAAGGAGAGCTGGACAGGGCATCATCTCAACAGCAGGACTGGTGTCTGCCCCTCTGTGTGAGGAGGAGAGCTGGCAGAGCCCTACAAACAATCTCCAGCAGGCTGCTCATGTGCAATAGCTATAGAGATAGTTGGTGTATCATCTAACATACCACATGAGAGACAAACACGATTACTGCTTGGTGTATTTAGCGTTGACAGTTAGCTTTCCAGCTAATGTCAAAAACCGTATAATATCCCCCGTTAAATATGTGACATTCAGAGTACAAATCTTCTATAGCACTCACCTTCCGTAAGCAGATCCTAGTGATGTGAACCATCTTCAGTGGCACTTATTGCCACTCTTAAGAATTATTTTCGCCAAAGCTAACTGCTAGCATACGTACATGTGTTTGGATCGGGGACAGGAAGTAGTGGTTCTTTTCTCTCCGCTTATTGGATGATGAAGCGGGGAGGCGGGGCTCCCATTCTCACTAACTGTGAATCAACTTCACCTTAACCAGGGATGTGTCAAATGGATGTTTCCTTTATCTTAAGAGCAGAGGGAGAATCAGCGGTTTTATAAGTGATTATGCAAGCTGTTAAAAGAAATTAAAAAAGCCAAATTGTTTGTATATATTTTTAACAAAAGGATAAAATCTATTCTTCCAACATTATTATTATTATTTTTTGCCTTTGCCACATACTGGTTCAGAGTGAGCTTGGTCAACAAATACTAGTACAAAAAACTGATGAGGAATGACTTATTGATTTGTATGAATTTATTTTTAAGCCTGTTTTATGAGTGCATTTTTTATCTGCTGAGGACATATATAAACTTTTAAGGATTATTTATTAATATGCTATATCCCTATAAAGGTAGTAAAGGTGTACTCAATTTTTCACACACTGCTTTCTGCATTTTTTAAATTAAATAATAACACTGTTTCACGTCTTGGTGTTGATCTGAGGTTGTATTTGCCTAATTTTAGGACCTGCTAAGAATCAGATTTATTTTAAAATGTCCTGATACATTAAACATTAAGGAATGTAAGAGGGTGTACTTTGTTTTTCACAAGATTGTGTAATGTCTCTATGTGCTTTGGTCCTAGACAGTTTTCTCTTGAAAAAGAGATCTGAGACTCACTGAGACAACCTATTTAAATAAAGGTTTAATAGTGATAACAGTAAAAATAATAATATCGTTACAATAATAAACTAAATGTAGTTTTTCATCTAGAGTAACTGAAAATAGGTGTGTCACAACCTAAAACGCACACAGGCTGTATTGTCCAGAAATCTGGCAACTATGACCTACAGCACTGAATATTACCTTTAAAACTTCAAGAAAATGCAAGTTTCTAACCAAAACCATTCTCAATAAAAAAAATTCAAATTGTAAAAGCCAGATTTGATATTTAAGTCCTTAAATAATAAAGGCAGACCATAATATGCAGCTGTAGCAGGGATCACTGTCTGTCCTACATTTGAGCAGTGCACGTCTTATAAATAAAACTGTTCTCTCAGGTAAGCCCACCTAGCGGGCAGCAGTGTCGGCGGAGCTGCGAGGATGCTGAGAGAGATGCTCTGATCTTCCAGCTCTCCCCCGTGAGCGCGCTCGCGCGCGGCGGTGCAGAGATGCGCATGTGACGACGAAAACGAAGACGCAGTTTCTCTCTTTCACACTCTGCCACCAAGGCACACAGAAGATCTCCCCCCTCAGTGGACATTTGCACATCGATCAGATCTGCATACACCAAGTCTGCTCGGATTTAACCTCGCGGAGGTAAGGCTGTGTGTGTGCGTGCCTGTTCGTGTGTGTGTGTGTGTGTGTGTGTGTGTGTGTGTGTGTGTGTGTGTGTGTGATGACGAAAGAGAGGTTGGCTTATTATCTCTCACAAGACCCCAGACAGCTGGGTAGGTCCTCCCACCGGTGTCTGGCTATTTATACGATTTGAAACGCTGCCGTGGGTCGTGATAACTGGACGAGACCGGGAGATACTGACACACATCACAGCTCGGTAAGAGATCCTGTTACTGAGTGATGCGGATGGCCGCATGTGTGTGTTTGACCTAAATTATGCAATGATGGTGTAATAGCGGCTGTAGCATGTGCTCGTTGAGATTCAGTGGACGCAGGCTTCCCGGAGTCAGCGGTGTAGTGGAAGATATAAGGCTGCTGGTCCATGAGGATGGTGTTTGCGATCGGGTACCAGACTGCTGCATCATTCTTTCCATCCTTTAGCGCGTGCTGCAGCATCATCCCCGGATACCGTGTATAACCAGCCCGGCCCTGTTTTGAATTTAATCTAATTTTCTTAAGTGAGATGCAGACTGGTCCGTGCAAAATGATCTCAAGTTGCAAAGAGGAGGGTGTAGTTAAACCTGCTGTGAGACGTAGTGTACACATAAGGGTTTATACACACTAATATTTCTTAGCATGCTTTTCATTCCATTCCTGTGAAGCTGTAAAGGCTTAACACAAAGTTTCAGTTGTTTGTAGTAGGTAGCTAACAGTACATCGTGCACCATGTTCTAGAAAAGTATGGTGCGTCCTACACGCTGGCAAACGCGCACACGTAGGCGCGTACACGGGCTGGAAGAGAGTAAAACAAACCCCAAAAGGATGAAGCGCACTAACACCTGGGGCGTATTATTATTATCGTCACGTTTAAACTATGGATGTTGGTCTGTTGTGTGTTAAGGACTTGTGCTGTCGAGGTTTCACTGAACTTAAAACGGCGTTTTTGGATTATCCGAACTGGGGTTTTTTGTTTGTTTGTTTGTTTTTGCGCACTGAATGACATTATATCTGATCACAAAGACACAGTAAATGCAGCCCACAGATCTAGCTCCATGATTTGCTCATGATGCATCATGAGCTGCTGTGGCATCATGTAGAAATTATAGAGCACAGGTGCTCTGTGAGCCCTTGGAAGTGGCTTTTTACATTTTTTTGTCCAGTTTTATTTGTTATCTGTTGATAAAATCAAACATAAATCCACTGTGGGATAACATAAGCACTGGTTTGTGCGTGAAATTTCAAACAAAAGAAAACAACTGCACACACGGGTGTTTTTGTTTTGTCAGATCAACCAGAGGCCTGAACAGTATCAGTCTGCCAACTGGGGGCATGGATACGGTATGCAATGTGTGGAATCCCGTTGCTTTTATTGAAGAGGGTAAATAAGCCGACAACCAAAGACAACTGGTTGGTCTACAGACACAGGTCAGACAGGGGGGAGGGAGAGAGGGGGAGACTGGACGTGAGTCAGATTGTATGGGCGGCGGGGAGTTTTAAGGGACATGTGCCAGACTTTTGGGATGTACAAAGGCGGTGTGGGCGCTGTTTTGGTTGGTATGGAAGTGGGGCAAGTGGGCTTGTTTGCTGTAGCCGTTGGGTAATGTTTTGGCGGGAGTGAGCGTGAGTGTGTATATTGGGGTGGAGGTGGGGGGGCTATGAGAGGAGCGGGTGTTCTGATGATTTGATCTGTCAGCATGCCAGGACCACATTCTCATCCTGCTGCCATTGAAAGGGGCGGTAAAGACATAAACAGGCCCAGTGGGATTAGGGCCCACTCGGAGGAGTGATCAGGGGGGATTTGCTGCCCGGCGGGCACACAATGGCACTGTCGCGTAACACACAAACACACAGTACACATGCTCAACGGCTACATTTCACAACAGACCCAGGCCTACATAAATCTGATTAGAAGTCCCTTTTGTCTGGAAAGCAGTGCCGGGGTTAACAGAGGCTAGCTCTGCCCCAGGCCATGTGCGGTAGGACGTGGGGTTTGTGGACACGGCGGGACGGCAATGAGAAAAACTGGGGGCATGCTGTGTTGTGGCGGGGTGTTTCCACGTGTGTGAAGCCCCAGACAGACAGGGAGGGCCATAGCCGTGCGTGAAAGCACAATAACAGGATGAATAAAGCCCCCCCGTGTGTGTTTCTGAGTCAGCTGATGATGGTCGACGGAGACAGGATCTAAGCTAACATAAGACAACAACATCTCTGACAGACAAAAAGACAGTATGCTGGTTTGAACCTGTTCAAATAATTTCACCCAGAAACATGGAAACAGTGGGACAAAGAACAAATGAGGCTCTGCTTTTAGTTCACTACTGAATGGACGCAGCTACAGAAATTTCTAGAACTTTCTTCACATTTCTGTTATTCCTGTCCTCCTCAGTGCCGGCTCTGGCCCAGGCTGCAGCCATGCCTCTCCTGGAAGAGACCACTCTGCCACAAGAGCACCCACCCACCGTCCCTGTGGTCATCATAGGTAAACTTTTTGCCTGACCTTTCACTGGTTTAACATAACTAATACATCCTTCAATCATGCACACATTTTAAGGCACAAATCAATAGTTGGGAAAATCAGGACAAGATGCTCTTCACAGAAGACAAAAAAGAGAATAGGGAGGTCCTGTGTGAGGATCATTCCTTTTGAGATGAAAAACTCAAGCAATATAGTTGTTTTTTGTATGATAAGTATTGCTGGAGCTTTAACCTCTTCACATGTACTTTGAACCACTGAGTAGGCACAATAAGAAAGGTTTTGTGGCCAGTTCATCTATTTCTGTGTCATGTGCATCTAGATGTTCATTGCAGGTTTGAAAACTGCTTAAAAAGCACACATTTCAACCTAACGTATTATATATCACCTTGTGCCTCTTTGCAATGCTATCCTGTAATTTCCCAAATGTGGATTTATGTTTAGGCAACGGGCCATCGGGTATTTGTTTGTCCTACCTGCTGAGTGGATACAAGCCGTACTTAGACCCAGCAACTGTCCACCCAAACCCAATATTATACAGGAAACTACAGGACACCAAGCATCTACCCATTACCGAACAGGTAAAAAAACAAAGCAACTACCAATCCTTGCTTATTTAAAAATGGCCAAAGTCAGTCTGGTACCTCATAGGCATGACTTTCCTCATTTATATATTTAATTTTTTACAGGATCTGGAATATCTGAGTGAAGGTCTTGAGGGGAGGTCAAGTAATCCGGTGGCTGTGCTTTTCGACACACTCCTGCATCCTAATGCTGACTTTGGCTACAAATTCCCTTCTGTCCTTCAGTGGAGGAGGGACAAGCAGCAACACATCCCACATCTGGTTCTGGGCAGGGGAACACCTGGGGGTGCTTGGCATGTAAGTAACAAACTTTGATCTTGATTTAAAGTCAGCCATTTTGTTTTCACCTGTCTAATCTATGGCGTTCCCTCTCTCATCGCTTCAGGCAATGGAAGGCTCCATGCTGACTATTAGTCTTGGCATCTGGATGGAGCTCCCCGGGGTCAACTACAAAGACTTGACCAACGGGAAACGCAGGTAATGACAGAGGAGAAGGTTTACAGCAACGATATGGCTCAAGCTTCAGTTCGGTTCTGTACTATTGCTCCTCTTTGTCTCTGTTGTTGCTCTAGGGATGTAACCAGTGACAGAGCCACACCAGAGGAGATCTCATCCTATTACTGTAACTATGTAAAGCTAAAGGGTCTTCAAAAGAACTTTGTTGACAACACCTACGTGACCTCCATCCAGAAACTCTACCGGGGGCATGAGGGAAAAGGTCTTGAAAACGGTCACACTCATCAAGGAGATGGAGGGGTGGGAGATGGAGTGAATGAGAGCTTTGAGGGAAATGGAAAAGTGTGCGTAATGAGTGGAGGAGGGGGGGCTCTCTGGGAAGTAAGGGGATACCAGCAGGTGCAGAACGACACTCACGTCCCTTTCTGCCTGTTTGCTGAAAATGTAGTCCTGGCCACCGGTGCTTCCGACTCACCAGTTCGACTGGGTGTAGAGGGGGAGGATCTGCCTTTTGTGTCCCACAGTATCTCAGACCTAGGCTTGGCAGTTAGCCAGAGGAAACTGGATAAGAACTCCGATCCCGTTCTAATCGTGGGTGCTGGTTTAAGCGCTGCCGATGCAGTTCTGTGTGCTTGCAACAGCAACATTCGAGTGTTGCATGTTTTTCGCAAGAGAATCGACGACTCAGACCTCATCTTTAAGCAGCTTCCCAAGACACTGTACCCAGAGTACCACAAAGTCTACAACATGATGTGCTCTCAGGCTTACACAAACGTGGCTCCCTCTTCTGTTTCTAACAGACCCCAGGCAGTTAGTATTGCCTCTTCAGTATGTGCCAAGATGTGCCCAAAGCCTCAGCTTGCTGCAGGTAATGTGGCTGGTAACGCTAGTATCAACCTGTTTCCTGACTACACCAGTTTCCCCGAACACTGTGTGGTGTCCTTCCAGTCTGACATGAAGTGTTTGCTGCAGGGAAACAACTCCCTCAAGGCATTCAAGATCTCCATGGTCCTGGTTCTGATTGGGACCAACCCAGACTTATTTTTCTTGAAGGGGCAAGGCCAGTACCTGGGTCAGGATCCAACAAGACCCATCTCCTGCAAGCAAAATCCAATAGATATCGACCCCTACACTTTCGAGTGCACCAAGGAGCCAGGTCTGTTTGCCATGGGGCCACTGGTGGGTGACAACTTTGTTCGCTTTTTGAAGGGTGGCGCGTTAGGCATCGCCTCCTGTCTGCTGAAGAGACTCAAGAAGAAAGGGAAGCTCATCAGCAACGGAGGAAACAACATAATGTGAAAACACGATGAGGAAAAGAGTTTGACACGTTGATCTTAGGGCACACATTTCAAACCCTTTTACCATGATATAAAAGGTGAGGAGAAACTTTTAATACATTTTCTTCATTAATGCAGTGTTTTCTCATCAAAGCTAAAGCATTTTTACAACTTTTTAAGACCAAAAAAAGACAATGGTTGTACTTTAATTTGTTTCTAACGAAACAAAAGACAACTTTCAAGAGTCTTTTCTGACTTCATGTGAAGTCCCCATATGTCCAAGCTACTGTGTGCCAACGTTTTCTAGTCAGTCTGTAACCTCATAACTGAACAGGACCTTACACTCATCAGGGTTATTTATTCATTCACCATGTGTCTTCAATTCATCTACTAACAATGCTTAACTCGATGTTGTATCATGCTTTAAATCTTTTTTTAGCTTAGCTTGTAGGGAAAACTAAAAAATAAAGGACACTTGTTAATTCCCATCCAACTTACTGATGTAAGTGATGGTTTTGTGGTCCGACTTACAAAACCTACAAACTGGAATTCAGCCACAAGTAGTGTTTGTTCTATGATGTGTTCAAAGCAACTTTGTGAGTGACCGAGCCAATCTGGGATCAGTTTGGGTCAAGAAGGAAATCATGCGCAATTTGTTTGTGATAATACAGAGATAAACTGTGAAAAATCGGTGAAAGTCTCAAATCTGTTGCCACTAAAATATTTATTCTCATTCTGGATGGTGGTGCCATCCAGAATGAGAATCTGTTGGGGCTTTGGAGGTGTCGGCATCATATCAGGGCTCTCCAAATTATCCAATGCAGGGTGTGAAATATGGGGAAAAAACTGAGGGGAATGTTTTGGGGGGTTTGTTCAATGAAAAATAATCCAGGAACCACCTATTTACTCTGAACCCTGTCAGAGTATTTATTATTTATTAAACCTGTCAATGTAATTTAGTGAATTCAGAACTTAAAACACCACACGGCAACCTGCGCAGCCACCTTGCTAGAAGTTTAGTATGTTCAACGCTCAGCCTCTGGGTCTCCACTTGGTTGCTGACAGAAAAATAATTAAACCCAATCACCAGTGACCACAGATCTTTCCTTGTTGTAATGAGGTTGCCATCATATTTTTACTCTAGTGTGACTGAGGCTTCAGAAGTCCTAATGTTCCTGATTGTTGAGCCTGCTACGGGAGTTTCTGCTTTTAGCTGCTATTGCAGGTAGTTGGAGCTATAGTCTGATAAATTTGACCTGTTGCTTCAGTTATACTGCTTCTCCAAGGTTTTCTATGCAAATAATTTAAAGTAGATCTGAATGTATTCTTGCACATCCACTGCTAATTTTACTGTTTGGACTCAAATATCATGGAAAAACTTAGGTTTATTAAAAGCTCATTCTGGTGTTTCACATTTTTCTCCTTTTTAAGTATTGTCAAAGTCAGTGTGTGAAACACCTCAGCCAAAAACTAACATTATTTTTGTTTAGATGCACGCTTCCTTTCTTTACTCAGAGAATTATTTAAGAAAACATTCACTGAATAGGAAAAAAAATAAGAAACACCAGTATGAGTCTTTAACTTTACCCTTGAAAATAAATGGCAATTATATATTATTAATTCAAATCTCGCTAAAAGAGTAATGAGTCTCGCCTTGATAATGTATTTATTCAAATACCAGAATTACAATACGTACTGCACTTTTAAAAAATAAATCTGGGCAGAATAAACACTAGCTTACCCTAATCTAAAGCCATATGGAGCTAAAGAGCTTTAAAACAGCAGAATACACACTTTTACAGTTATACCATCCAGTATTTCTTATTTAAAAATTTAATCCATTTGCATTTATGTAATTTGATGATGGTGTTTTAAAGGGCTAAAAAGCATACTACATAATCTCATATCAGGATTTAATACTGAGCTATCATTATATTAATTTAATAGATTTTTACTAATGGTGTGAAACATGCTCCACCAAACAGGTCAAATATTCACTGCCGTTTTCCTAAATTGTATTGACACGTAGAGCTATACTAAAAAAAGCTCTACTTTTATACATGTCCACATGGTACAATCAAACAGTTGCACATATTTCAATTTTTATTTTTATTTATACAGCGCCAAATTACGACAAAAGTCACCTCAAGGCTTTATATTGTAAGGTAGACCCTACAATAGAGAAAAACCCAAGAACCATATGACCCCCTATGAGCAAGCATTTTGGCGACAGTGGGAAGGAAAAACTCCCTTTTAACAGGAAGAAACCAGCAGAACCAGGCTCAGGGAGGGGCGGCCATCTGCCGTGACCAGTTGGGGTGGGCTCATAAGCAACAACAACAACAACAAAATAAAGATCTCTCCTTCAAGATCCTCTTCTTGCACATCTCCAGGGCGCTGTTTTTAAATATTTTCTTGAGAGTCCAAAGTCTGTGATTTCACGAAGCTTCAAAATCTCTGTTTAAACCAACTTCACTCATGTCTGAGTACAATCCTGCAGATGTCACTGTAGAGTCCATAGTTCCCAAGCTCAGAAGTAGAGCATCAGGTGAGGAGTGAGACCCGAACCATGCAAACCCGAACCCCAAGTTTTTGTCAGAAAGAAGAAGATTATTTACAAAAACTAAAAATTATTTATTAACAAAATTGACACCGCTACAAAGCGACCTAAAAATAACGTCAAACTGACAGCAGCCCAGCGGTGCACAGGAAGTTAACCTTGAAGGGGGATATAGACCAAATTTAAGTCAAGCAAGCATTTTGATTTTTACAAGCGCAGTCCTAGAACTTTTTGATTGCACCTCATGTCTGCCCATTTACCATTACACTATCACAGTAGACAGCCATGACTGTTTTGTTAAGTGCCAAATAAGAGAAAGGTTATTAAAAAGTGACCATAGCAATCAATTTTTAATTCCTGTTTTTAATTTAATCCCTGTCTGAATAATGTGCATGAATATTTTTTTTTTGCCGCTCACGCACAGCTCATGCTTTCTTTACTGTGATGTGATGTGCCCCCCTTCAGTACAAAATAAGTCAGCGTCGGGGGCAATGCATTACTAAATAAGATGTAACGTAGTCATATTACTTTTTCCACTAACAGAATAGCTTAAAGCAGTACTGTTTTCACACTCATATAACAGTTAACTAGTGAAAATGTTGATACTTGTGTTCCACCTGAGTTATACCCTTGAACTATTTTCATGTACTTGGACTACTGTTTTGATATAAATATTAAATATATGCATGCAGGCATGACCTTTTGCCTAGCAGCAGCTGCTGAGCTAACAGACAGTAAAGCTACGAGGACAGATGCGAGAAGAGTGAATTTAAGGACGACACAGGGGGCTGAATGACTCAAAAATGGAGATTACTGTCTTTACTTAAAGAGAAAAATATGAGGCTGTTACATCAGGGTAAGACACACCTGATCATAGCTTCTAAAGCAACAAGATTATTTATATTTTCTGTTCAGACTTGTACAGATTTCAAAAGGTAACTTAGGAATCAAAAACTTAAGCTATGTAACCTTATTATTTCAAATTGTGTTTGAAGGCAGTCTCCTGACTACTTTTGCCACACTGTAGCCCACTACAAAAAAAAAACAAAAAAAAAACTTCTGTTATTGCACAATTCATGCTGAATGCCAAATTAACCCTTAACTTATAAGCCACACTATCTGTGATTATGTGGGGGCAGGTAGGATTTAGTTATCTGCACAGAAAGGCCAACAAATGCTTGGCACGAGGACTCTTTATCTGAACAGTCTCATATCTGGTAAAGTGCCTGCGAGGTCAGCTCTCTAGAGATCGCTCAAGAAACGGTAACACTTGAATCTCTCTGGAGTTTCTACTGTAGTTCTGCTAAAACCAGGGAACACATTGGGTCTTAAACTTCAAAGTGAAGGAAAAGCTGCTTTCAGCATGTAGAGTTTTGAAGCACTCTTGTACAACTGAAGCCTTTTTAATGTTTTGTATGCCATGTTTTTTATTATTGACAAATAAAAACTGGAAAAAAAAAACTCCGAACATGCGACTATTTTTTTGGTTACATTTCCTCTGTCAGTGGCTTAATTAGACGAGCTAAAAAAAACAAAAAACAGAACAGGAACAGCAACCAAAACAATGACTTACAAATGAAATACAAACATAAAGAGATACATGAAGTTAGAGTCCTTCCACACAGGGCTGATACTTCCTGTACCTCTGAAATGAATCCCCTCTGGAGGATGTTGAAACGAAGGCATTTCATCTTCTCTTGCTTAGTTTGGTGGGGTTGTACCTAAAGACACACACACAAAAAGGACAATCTCAGTACGGGCTTTTAACATTCCTCATGCATCACTCCTCAATGTCCTAAGAGGCATTTTGAACAAACAATAAAAAACAGCCCAAATTAGCCCTGTAAAACGGGGACAATGTTTGAACAGCTCAAAGCAAACAAGCTCCCAATAAACCACGTCTGGAAACTTGGTTTAGACGTTGAAAAAAAAAAAAAGTACTGGACTGTTTTCTTAGCAGCAGAGTCTGTTCCCTGACTACGCATGACTGACTGAGCATGACTCGGTGATCAAACAACTCAGCCTTGACACACACACACACAAAATCAATCTCAGACGGTCTCTTTTCTGCTTAGTCAAAGAAAACACGCCAGCGCCGGCTTACATCACCCGTTACCCAGGCAACGGTGGTGACGAAACAATCTCTAGGTTCTGACTGGTTAAGCTGGAGCTGCTGAAGCCCCGTATCCATAATTCTCGGCTAATTATGTCCTGTGCTCCTGAGTGTAGCAGCTGAGGCTTCGTAGAACCTTTGGAGTATTTTTACCTCCCAGGCTGTCATGGATGAGAGCAAACAGCTCTTCTATGAGAGACAGAGATGTGAAGGTTTCACTTGAATGACAACGGGGTCAACAATTACTGGGAAAGGATTTGGAGCTTTTTGTAGGAAGTATTATCCAGTGTGAATCCATTAAAGTACATTAAAGTAACAAGAGGTGCACAGGAGAGGCAACAACAAGAAAACCTCTAAAAAGCAACATCCAGGCATCCTCCTGGCATCATTTGGACCACCAGTTTGGTCACAAACATGCACATGAGTAGCTCCCTGGAGTTGAGTTGTGCTTGACTATAGACTGAAACAGGACTCTTCGTAGATAGTAAGACACAACAAAGAACATCGTTTTCAAGGAAACTTTTATCTTTCTAAGCAGATTTTAAAATGCATCACATGTTTTCTTGTGCCTTTACTGAAATTGTGTTTACTTGCTGTATCATTTGTTGGTTTGAAAATGCTTCTGAGGCAAGACAGCAGCACAAGCTAGTAAGCTGTTGGGAATTGCATTACCAAGCTTAGAAAGCATTTATAGGGACCATGGATGGAGTAAGGCAAATAACATTGTGAAGGATGTGAGGCATCCCCCCCCGCCCCTTTAAACTACTACGATCTGCACGGCCCTGGGGATGGGCGTCCAGGTACACACCGGCTCACTCCTGGTGGCTGTAGGGATGGGTACCGGTATCCTGTGCCATTATGGCACCGGTTCTGACATAAACAGTAGTAACCAGACTGTAAAGCAGTGCACATTTCGGTGCTTTTTTCCCCCCTGAGATGTCATACACTTTGAATTCTAGCCAATCATTTTACCTTTCAAAGGATAATAGGCGGGCCCAGGTACGTACGTTCTTTTAGAGCAGAGCTACAGATTAAAAATGCCCAAGGCGAAGCGGTCAAAAGTCTGGCTGTACTTCACAGCAAAAGATGCAAACTCAGCAGCCTGCAACAAGTGCTTTAAGCTGATACTGTGATACTGTCAAAGGAGGTAACACCTCAATCCGATGAAACACCTGGCGACGCATAGCGTTTTTTTAAAGCCGAGAAATGCGCCGTATTTGATAGCTTGCTGCGAGACCTCACACCGAGCACATCTACTGCGGGTGTGGTGCCTGTTATCGGACCCGGAGTTAGCAACATCCCCCAAAACCCGAAGAGGAGAGTCCTGGCCCCTAGCCCTGCCAGTGTAGCAGAAATGATGAGGATGATGATGCAGCAGCAGCCGTTCTTCTCTGCGTGAGTAGCTTAATGTTGTTCGTGTGTAATTTACGTTGAGTAGGCTAACCACGTTATTACATTAATGCATGTAAGGTGAACTAGCAAACACCATCATAGCTACATGCGGCTGTCTTCTTGTTTGATGGCAGATACTCCCTTCACCCTGGCCAAAAAGGCTAAAATGACCAAAGAAAAAGTGGAAAACAGCTAAACATGAGAAGAGTGATCCATAATCCCTATAGCTGCAGAAAAGGCTAACATTGTTATCTTTTTACAAAAAAACAGCTGAACATGAGAGGTTTTTGGACAAAGTGTGTGTTCTCCATTCGCACCGTTTAAGCACCAGCACCGTTTCAAAAGTACTGGTTTGGTACTGGTATCGTACCAGCCACTCCTGGTGGCTGCTTGTCGGGGCCTGGAGCCTGGGGCTCGCTCGGGCCACTTCGGGGGTGGGGTGCCCTCGGCCTCTCGGCCTGGGGCTCGGTCACTCTGGCACAGCTGGCTGCCGGCGGAGCTCACGGGCACGTCACTGCAACCCCCCCTGGCTTCTGCTCCGCGGCTGCTGAGTGACCCTCATCTGGGACTCTCCTCAGCTCTTTCTGGGACAGTGGCGCGGCTGCCCCTCTGTTGGTCTTCCTTGGTCTCTTGTGCTCTGGGGCCTCTGGATGTCTGGAGTTTTGATCTCCTCCATACCTGCTTCATGCCCTGGAGGACGGGGCTGTGGCCCCCACACCCTCTAGCAGATCATTACATGAAGGAACCTTTTAAATACAAGCGCGTCCATGCTCACAGGTGTACACACGGGTGCTCACACACACAAACTACACCCTTTTTGGCTCCTACCTCAAAGCACACTGTGTGCTGTCGATCTTACGTGCTGCACTAAGTAATATTTAGTATTTACTGTTATATTCACATAGATCATCGCGATGATGTTGTTTATTATATTGCTCTCTTTTTTTTGCTTGTTTTCTCTTTTTTCTTTCTCAACAGGTGATCCAGGTGATTGATATATGTATTTTTTGTCTGTTTGTTTTGTTGGTTTTTGTTTTTGCCCTTTATCACCGTCCCTCTTCCCCTCTTTTCTTTCCCTCTTTCTTTCTCCCTTTTCTTTTCCCCAGTCAAGTCTGTCCCGTGTTCAGCAAATGAAAATAAAATAAACAATAAAAGCAAAGGTGAATCAAATAGACCAATACGGCAAGGCTGGGATGGTCCATTTGGTAAAGTAAATCCGTTGGGCATCTTTCTTTGCCTTTAGACAACAATTCTGATGGCAAAAGAACCAAACGGGACAGGCAAAAAAAAAAAGAAACATTAGTGTATTGATTGGATTTACACTGGTTCTGACTAGATCAGCAAGTTGAGAACCCTGGTGAGCTGGCCTGTCCCTTTTGTTGTCAGACATCAGGTCACAAAAAACAAGCAAAGCTAACAATACACTAAATCTGTATGACAAACCGAAGAAGCGGCCAAAATAAAATTGTCAAAGCTGAATTGTGGCACAGAAGGCATAGATGCGTTTTAAGGACACTGTAAAGGAATAACAAGGTTACTTCATGTGGTCTCGTTACAGATTATTAGATCCCATTTCTCACCTAAAGAGATCATCTCCTATGGTCTCGTCCCTCCTGCTCTGTTGCTCCTCCTGAGACAGACAAAAATTCATTCAATTCAAAGTCATAAATCAAATAATAAACAAATAAGAGGGGCGACAGCACCTCAGCTGCATCTTTCAACCATTCATCCAGATCAGAGTTCTTGCCCCGGTTGTGAACCAGCAGATCAGATCCTCCAATAACGTGATGAAAGCCCTCCGAGCCCGGCACACGACTCTGTGTCACAGACAAAAACAAAAAAACAAAACCACAGACGTGGTCTTTGTCGGGTCTTAAAGTCAAATTAGAACATCTGATAAACTCAGAAAAACATATCTTTAAAAATAAAGGAAATTTTATAAAAAAAAGATTAACTGATTATGCAAAAATACTTAAAACAATTAAAAATCTTTTATTTTTAAACTTTCACTTCATATCTTGAAATGTGAGTTGTTGTTTTTTTAATTTACCCAGGAGGTGACACGTATTGTTGGATGGAAAACTGAATTAACTGAATAATTTATTTAATGACTTATTTTACATTTGAAATGAGCCTCTGCTGTGTGTGTGTGTGTGTGTGTGTGTGTGTGTGTGTGTGTGTGTGTGGTGTGTGTGGTGTGTGGGTGTGTGCGTGTGTGTGTGTGTGTGTGTGTGTGTGAGAGAGTCATCACCGGCTGACCTTGCGGAAACATTTGAAGTTCTTTATGTGGCCATTGCCCTGCATCTGATTTTGCTTGGCTTTGGGAGGAGCTGCCACGGTGAGAGATTTAAACTCCACCAACAGCAGCTTCTTAGGAAGGTCTTCATCGATCTTTGACTCCTGCAACAACGCACTTCTGTCAGGCAGGCTTCTTTCTAAGACATTTATATGGTATCAAACAGCAGCTAAAACACAAACACAGTGCTCAGGCTATATGCAGTATGGACCCTGAAAAGCTTAGGCTAAACTACCAACGCCTGGATGACAGACAGCTTCAAATAAAGGCCATGCATGCTCCAATGCGATTTCTAAAATGCTGTAATATACCGAGTATTGCAATAAGATATTTTTATGATTTATCACCTCTTTTCAACAGCAAATTATTTCCTAAAAGTTCAACTTTATCAATATCTGGTTTATTCAATAAGATAAAGTTATCTCACTTCAGCATCACTGTCACTAAAACCAGCCATATCAATCTGCTGTCTGATTTTTACTCATGTGACTGGACCACTAGTTAGCTCTGAATTATTATTGTCCAGCTAAGTGTTGGGCATCTTTCAGTTTCAAGCCTCGATATTTGTTGGCCCTGCATCGATACAATATCACGATACTACATCGTATCAGGTTGTTTTTTACCCCACCCCTACCTGATAGGTCTTTGAGATTCATTAAATACACAGACTGTTAATATAGTCACATATATAAAGCTTAAAATATTTCTTCTACTAGAAATGAGCAAGAAAACTGAGCTTGGTCTTCAGGAGGAAAAGAGAACAACTCACTTGGACTTCCTGTTTGATCACAACTGGTTTCAGAGGGCTTTTAATCTCTTCTTTAGGCTGAGGAATATCTGCATTGAGTAGTTCTAAATCCTAAAAAAAAGAAGGTGGAAACTGAGAAATAATCATTCTCAAACATAGCTGGGTTATAGTTGGGTATACTGATGTAGTTTCAGTTTCAGTTGTCTGCAGACTGAATTACAGACAGTAAATCATCTTTCCTCACCTCAATGAAGGACAAATCTTCTTCAAAAGGAATCACATCTTTACTCGTACTGGCTGATGACATTTCTTCTAGTTTACTCGACCCACGATTAGCCGTTGTGCAGTCAGCTGGGTCAGCTGGCTCTGTCTTAATACGGACAGCGTGCTGTTCAGATCGCTGGCTGTTCTTCTGCAAACTCGATTCTTTCTCCGAACCTGCCTGTGGCCTTTGATTGGTTATCCCATTTTTCTCTAGGTGGACACGTTGTCTCTTGCTCGAAGACTCCGCAGTATTTAAAACTTGTTTCTGTTTAGCTGAACTGTGCTCAGGTTTTGCTTGCTGGCCTTGATTAATTGAGGGTTGCTCATCAAAGCAGTCCATATCTTCAGACATAATGGACTCCAGTTCCTCCATCTGTATCACATCTTCCATCTCCTTCCTCTTTCTACTCTGTGGTTCCTCTGAGCGAGCCTCTGACCGTCCTGCGAACAAATCAGCTGCTGACCCGAGTGGAGTCTGGGACACAGTAGCTGGGCCTCTGTGTGTAAGTGGGGGGATTTCTTCAGACATGGCCGGGGTGTGTGGTGCCCGAGCAGTGACGGATGATGCTAGTGCAGGTCGCTTTGGCTCTGACGTGACAGCCGAGGGCTCGTCCTCCAAATGCCTGGATGAGAGGATAAATTAGAGAGAGATGGGCAGAAATAGATAATGTTTTTTTCTTTTTCTTTAATATATATATATATATATATATATATATATGAAAAATATTCCTTTCATGTGGTACTACTTCCTCTTTATTTCAGTATAACAGAGATTAGTTTGCAAAGATCTGAAGTGTCATAATTTGAGGTCCCATGAGAGAAAACAGTCACACATTTGTCTTCAAAACTTAAAAAAAAAAAAAAATCTAAACAGTGTGATTTCCTGCTGTGGGTTTTCTTTTTCAATCCTAAACACAGATTTACCTTTTCTTGCTGGCTGGCTGAAAGAAAGTGGTCAGAGTCGACTGCTTCTGTGGAGAAGCTTGTGAAGAGATTTTTGGTTTCTGAGGAGACTTCTTCGGAGGGAAAGTCTTGGTGCCACTGTTAGTCTTAGGAGTTGATGGCTGTGGTCTGATGTCAAAACTGTCTTCACCTGAAACAGAAAAACACTCATTTTTAAAAATAAAGATATTAGCAGAACAGGTATTAGGCTGGAACATGCATAGCTGTTGACAAGGTAGATGACTGACCTTGAGGTCAAGGGCGCCATGTTTTAAACTCGTCTGAGATTTTTAGTAATTTCAAAATCCTATATCGTGTTGTTCTCGAGTTATCGTATTCACGGCACCCACAACAAAACCCTATACCTGCATTTTTTATGGCCGAGGAGTAAAAATCCAGCACGGGTGCTGGATTAGTCCTCTGTTAAGCTCAGACAATGTAAGAAAACTATCAATCGCTGTATTTCTGATTCACTCATGCAGCTACCTGCTAGCTTGGATTCAGACTTCTTCTGTGATTCTGCGTTTGCTGCAGTGGTGAGCGACGAGCTCATTGTTTCATCCACAATACACTGAGTGGTCGTTTTCTGAGCCACGGGGCTGATTACACGGAGCTGACTGGCATACTGGTGCGGCTTCTTCTCAGGCGTCTCCCCTACCGACGTCACCCCGGTGACCTCAGAAACCCGCATCCTGACAACGCAAAAAAGTGAACTGAAACACCTCAGATGAAGAAGACGACTAAGGCAACGTTTTTGACGGGGACATCATGGTGTCTGTAAGTGCTTGTCTGAACCTCTGTGATGTCTCTGTGTTCGCTGCATACGCCGTGATGTTCTGCGATGCTGCAGGTAACACGGTCTCATCCACAGCTACGCTCTGTGACAGCGAGGCACTTGGGATTCTGGGTGTCACTTTTGGTACAGAGTCTAAGACACAAAAAAGAAACAAAGCAATCCAAGGAAACGTATAAGAAAACAAATAAATATAGAAACTCTTGTGTGTGTTTTTTTGTTTGGTCAGCCACCTGAGTCTGAGCTTGAGGGATTGCAGTATTTTTCACAGGAAGCATAGATGGCAGCCAGGCCGATTTCAGACTCTGTGATGACTCGAAGGCCTTTTCTGTGCCAGTGTTAAAAGGAGAAAGATTCAGAAATAATTCAGTCAACACAAACAAATGATCAACACCCTGCAGAACAAAGGGAGTGTGAACCTTTCAACGATGCTCTTCACAGAGTTTGCCCACTCTGTTGCGGAGGTAGACAGCAGAGTTTGGGAGGCACCTGTTGTAAAATCGACCACACAGCTCTGCGGAGACTCCAGCAGGTCACGAGGCAGGCTGCCCTCTTCCAGCAGCTGACTCCTGCCACCTCCAAAACTCACTGCCACACGAAGGCGCTTCAGCTGGAAACAGCACAGAAGAGCCGCATATTAACACACATACACAAATAAACTACAGATAAACATAGAAACATCAGTTTAACAAGGATGCCCCTCATGCCAAACTCTTGAGTGAATATCTGCCCAGAGATTGCTTTTGGCTCCTTTGAATTTCACCTTCACTTCCTTTGCCTCCTCAGACAAAAGCTCTTTTTGCCTGGTGAAGTTTCCATAGTTATTTCAATTGTTCCAGCATCCAGCACTTCAGCTACCTGGGGAAAGTTACCCAGAGCTACAGAGAAAACAAAAGCACTGTTTTCTGCTTTCATTGTGCGTGCATGCCTTCAGTTTCCTGTGAGATTTCATCCCTGCTGCACAGCAAAGCAGATAAGCAGACAATCTAAATATGGACGGTGTCATATTTATTTACATTCTAATGATAATTTGAAGCCAAAAAGTTAGCTATGCAAAGCATGGATGCAACGTAGGTTGTATAAAGTTAACAAAAATATCACATTACAGTTAGCAGAGTGTGCACGTCAAAAGAAAAACATGCAAAAAGGATAAAAAAGATGAATCCATTAGGTCTTTAACCTCATTCATCTCACATAAGAGAAAAGGCCAAACAGCAGAGATAAGTTTATGTCCCTGATGAGGTTTCATAATGTGAAAATGCCCTGCGGTGCACCAGAACTCACCTCATCTGCACAATCAGGTGTTTTTATTTATTTATCCATATACGATTTATCACAATGGGACTTAACCATAAATGCCACACAAGAAGTACTGAAGTATGCGCTAATGTCTTTGTTAAATATTAGGATGGATGGATCCATGCTTTCTCGTTATTTACACCAAATTCTGGTGCCTAAACGCAGTGAGCTTCTGCAATGTTATTGTCTGATTAGATGTTTTTGTTAAAGAGTAGTTGAATAAGTGTATCTAATAAAGTGGCAGGTGAGTGTATATTGTGATTAGATCAAAAAAAGGTGACTAACCTGTTTGGCGCTGAGGAAAATAAAGGTCCGTCCACTGAAAAGCTGTTTGCGAAGTGGAACCGCTCCAAGATTAACATCGTCTTTATTCAAGCTGGGCTCATCGATCTCAGGAATGAAGCTTAAAAAACACAGAGAGAAGACGGCGTGGAGCTCAGCTTCAGCGTTACCGTGTATCCATGGGAATGGTTTGTACTGTACCTCTCGGCTTTAGGAGGCGGTAACTTCTGCTGAACAGCTCTGCTGAGCTCTGAGAAGAACTCTGGCTTCACGATGGGACAGCAGCACAGCAGAGCAGAAATGGTCTAATTAAGAAAAAAACAAAAACAAAAAAGTAACGAACAAACATGTCACAGGAGCTAGCGATGGTACAAAGTCGGGTCCTGACCTTAATGGTAACTTTAACAGAAGACATAACCAGGTGGGTGCAATCCTGAGACCAGCTGCTGACCAGCTTTCCACCCAAAGCTAGCACGGCCTGAGAGAGCGACGCTTGGCCATCGTTGTCCAAACACGATGAACACACGACTGGCTGCAGATGAACCACACTAACACAAAGAGGACACGGTGATTGAGACACAACCAACCACAATCAGAACGTTTTATTAATCCAAGAGAAAATAACGAGGTCACTGTTGCGCCAAGACAGTAAGAACAGCAACAAACAAGTACAAATAATAAATAATATGACAAAACAGCTCTCATAATAGTATAGCTAACCAAAGTTGAAACTGAGCTTGTTATTTTTTGTATGCATGCGCAGATAAAACAATCCTTTTAGAATTCATGTTTTAATGTTTTATTTGGGAACAGAATGGTGTGTATGTGTAAGTTTGGTGATGGAGTTTTTATTATGAATGAATGATGAATTTTTATGAATTATTATGTCTATTTTTTTATGTTTAAGGACAACAGATGGAAATTAGCCTTTGGCTATAATCTGGCATGTTTACATTCATGTAATGTTTTTTTTACATTTATGTTCATTAACATGCACTGTCCTAAATAAATAAATAAATAAATTAGCTTTTGTAAAAGTTCTCAAAAAGTTGATTCTGTTCATCTGCATGTAGCATTTTCAGTGGGGGAAACGTTTCATCACTCATCCAATTGACCTCTTCAGTCTCAGCTGACTGCAGGTTTCCCCAACCTTATAAACAGTACATTGCACAATGACTGAAACTAGCACCACTGAATGAATAATGGGCTGGGAGGTCAGTTCCTTGATCATTAATATGCAAATTCTCATGACCATGAAACATTTCTCCCACTGAAAACGCTACGCCCAGAACAGAATCAACCTTTTGGGATTTACTTACCTGGATGATCAAGCATGCATCAAGACATTGTGTAAAAATTCAAGAAATATAACCATATCTCTTCTGCATACCTGAATTTGCTTTGAAAAACCCCAAAAGTCACTAAATCCCCTGATTTCAGGTTCACCGGTGTTGTAATCTGTTGGTTGTTGACAAATGTACCATACTTGGAGGTGTCTTTCAGAGTCAGCGTCTAAAAAGCAGAATACATGACAGCAATCATCACATGTTCAATGTCTTTACTGAAGATCGGTCTCAGTATTGCTATCAGCGTTCATCATCTGACCAAATGTGTTGACTATGAGCCAGACTCCATCACTTTGCTGATTAGATATTAATGTGAAATAATTAATGCATTCTTGAATTATGAATAAAACCCTTTTTGGGAGGTCACGGTGACATCCAAGGGAGATAAAATGGCACAGAAGTTAAACTGTAATGAAAGTCAAGCTTTAATAGACATTTTTATCATTTTAGATAAAATTTAATTTTATGTTTTATAGTCCAGCAGGTTTATGAATGTATCAATAAAAGGCATCAAGTAAACAGAAAGAAACAAATTCAGAAGCTTCTTAAGGCAAGCAACAAGAAACCACACAGATCTGGCAAGCCAAACAATCCATATTTGGCAGCTGATAAATACTGTGGGAGCTCCACGCGAGTCTCAGAAGAACAAAACAATGTGTGAGCATGTAGCAGTTTTTTAAAATTGCAATTAAAATGACATCATATGTGTTTTATTTTGGAAGTGCATCACTCAGCACAGCTTGCATAGCTTTTGGTAAAAACCAAATAGAGAATTTCTTAGACTGCACAACAATTACAGCTGAGTGGTGGCATGATTTACTACATTCAGGCCTAGTTATGTAGGAGTAGCGCAGCAGCACCACCTTCTGCACCAAAGTGTCATCATGCAGGCAAATATTTCACTGGTGCTTCAAGAAATACCAAGAGGATTTTTACTGATGTTCTGGTAAACCAGGAAAAAGACAAAAAAGTCACTAAAATGTCTTTGCTTCCTTAACATTACATATAATAAATATGTCTCAGCACAAGCTGGATTAAAGTTTAGGAATAGGCCCTAAGGATAGATTTAAAACAGGCTGGTAAAGCAGCAGATCTGACACGATGCAAGCTGCAGCATTTTGAAACAGCTGCAAAACTGCAATGGAAAACATTAAGACCAGCATCTACATTAGTCTAGCCTTGATCAAATAAAAGCATGCAAGATTTAAAGATTAAAGCTTGTTGTCATAGCAGTAGCAGGGTTTGTGTTGTTACATACACCGCAAACAATGAGTAAAAGGGAGTAAAAAATGCACATTTAAAGCCCAGGACAGCACAGCTGTATTTGATTGCAACAGATTTCACTTGTGTGCCTAATAAAGTTACCACTGAGTGTGTATAAACTGTATATAAACACTACAACTGTTTGTTCTCTGTTCATACCACCTGATCCTTTCCCTGCCTTGTCTCACCTGCTCTGTAGCACTTAGGTGAGCGTGAGCCCTGCTGATAGACTGGTCACTCGGAAGAAGAATGTCACAATTCTTTCGGCCCACCACGTACGCTTTACCCGAGAGGAGATAGCAGGCCTCAGCTGTGAGTGACAGACGGCAGGTTAGTGATTTTCTTATCTTCTCTTCAACTTAAAAGTTATCCCCTTTTGAAGTTTTGCATCCAGGAATTTTTTAAGAAAATTGTACATTTTATCTTGTAACAAACAAAACGTTATCGCAAAATGATCCACATTCTTTATATCTTTGATATTTGTTTTCTGGGTAAAATCAAAATTCCCTGAACAAACCTGTTTTTTTTTTGGTTTTGTTTTGGGTTTTTTGTATAAATAACTGAGGGTCATGTGATAGAGCACATGACTGACAAAGCAGCGATCAAATCCTCTTCTACCTACAGGTTACCTGTGGTGTAAGAAGTTGTGCTCCTACTGTAAATCAATCCATACATAAATCTTATTAATTACACATTCAGGTCATTAATTAGAAAAAAGGTTTGAGTTTTTGACTTTGACTGCTGGAAACATTTAAATTCAGATCATTTGACGTCTTGTTTATAGTTGCTACCATTAATTTCAACTTCCCATAAGCTCATTTAGAACCAAAGCATCGTATGTTGATACTTAGATAACACATTAACCTGTTTAGCAACATTAAATTAACACAGAGTATAAACACATGACAGCACAGCAAACATGCAGCCTAACGGGCTGCTAACCAGACAGATGCCTCCTGTGTGAACCATGCTTTAAATGCTTTAATCTAGTGTTTCTCAGATAGCTGCTAACTCCATCATCAAGGTGCTAACTTTGCCCGGCCTGCAGCGTCATAAATAAAGCTTCTATAAAACGCCGTCATGACACGAAATGTTACCTGTAGGCTGCTGCTGGGGCGTCAGTATCCACATTATACTGCCCTCTGTTGCTTTGGCATATATTAAAACTAGCCGCAACTCAGAAATAAAGCAATGTTTTGAGCAAACAGTTAAGAACAACTATTAACTCGCCGGACCGCTTCACCCTCGCCACTGTGTCGTCATAACTATGCGCCGCGCTTTCAAAATAAAAGTTCGAAAACTGCGTTTCACTCTCGAAAACTTTAAACACTATCTGATAAAAAATTTAGAATAAAAGAAATAAAAAATTAGCTGTGCATATATACAGAGAGTGTCTCGTCTTGACCCACAGTAATAATAGAAGCACAAATATAATGACTCCCATTAGCTGTTTCTACACCACAACCATACCGTACCTTAGAAAATTAGGAATTTGAATCAATAAATAAATTAAATATAAAATGCTGGAATAAGTGTGGAAATAACCATTGCGATCCTTTATATTTTCAAAACACTGACCTCTCTTCAGTTGCCGACTTTTTCGTTTCAGGTACAGATGCTCTAAATACCAGTTAGAAAGCTAGAGAAGCCATTGTGCCGTTTATAAACACTATGTTACAGTTAAGTGTTTGAAAAATAACAAAGAAATATATTTATATAAAATAATGACACAGTAACAAATTTGAAAAAGCCATAAATCAGATATATTGTAGATTTTATTTGATCTTAAAAGGTGAACCAGACACATGTAACACATTTAAAGTGACAGTTCAATAACCAACGTCAAAATATTAAAATGACAAATATAATTATTAATGTAATACGGCAAACAGATATGGAGGTAATTGCTTTTTTGTGTAAAATTGACTAGTTTATGATAAACTAAAACCAATAATTTATTTAGTTATTCTTAATAAGTATCACATTTTATCTATTGTTATCTTTGGTTTTATTTGCTGAATTTAAAATAAGGGATCGTTGTCAGATTTCCACGGCTGCCCTGCAGCTGTCCTGAGACGGCCTTGTCCCCAGAGGCACGGCAGTTTGTGATTGACTTTCATCACTGCAACGCTGGTGCAAGAATCTGGCTTACGGATGACCTCGCACCAATCTGGATAGTCCACAGGCTGAGATCCACTGCAGGAAAGATTAGTGTTTAGTTATGTTTAGCCACATCAAAATACAGTCTGTGCTTGTTGGTGTGTGTGTGTGTGTGTGTGTGTGTGTGTGTGTGTGTGTGTGTGTGTGTGTGTGTGTGTGTGTGTGTGTGTGTGTGTGTGTGTGTGTAAGGAAACTCACTGGTCACAGCATCCCACTCCGAAAGGCTCCATGCAAACACACTGGTAGCAGTCACTGGTGATCCAGCTTTCTCCTATCCCGTACATCTGTCCCATGTGTTCACAGGTCCCTTAAAAATGACAAACATGAGAAAGAGAAGATAAAAATTAAATAAAACTCATTCCATGCTGTTACATTCAAAATTTACGAGAATAAGTATATATATTAAAAATGTTCATCACAGCATTAAATTATATTTTAAAAAATGGCTAAATACTTTTTTTTTTTTTGCAGTTTTAGAAGTTAACTACACAAGAACAAAGAAAATGCTATAAAACCACTTTAAATGCAGCTTTTTCCCTCCTGCACTTCACTGAATTACCTTCTCTCAGGTATAGATGCTCTGAATGTTTGTGTAAAGAAAACTGCAACCTCTTCATACTTTGTAGCTTATTACATTAGTATGCATCTGAAGCTTCTGAACCAATCCTGTTATAAAATGTGCATCTGATGAGCAACCACAGCACACAGACTAAGTGGATGGAGACATTCAGAAAACATTAGGTATGAGCACCAAAAAAAAAGAAAAAAGAAAAAAAGAAGTGTCTAATTACATATGTAGGATATATGATACCTTTAGTGTTGAAGAAGCATTCGCCACTGCTGTACACAGAAAAGCATGGAACAGTGGCACTCAGGAAAGACAGTAGAGCCAGGAGCATACTTGCTGTGTTTGCCATTTCTGAAAATAGAAGAAGTGCAAAGGTTAAAGAAACACCATGAACACATCAGTCTGACTCAGGTTCATCAACTCAGTACTCAGGTTGATGCCCTCACTCGAGTTGAAGTTTCCAGCACTGTGTATAAAAATGTTCTGCTGCTGTATTGTCTCTCAGGTCTCCTCTGCGCGTCCTCCTTCTGTCATCCACCCTCTTCTTGCTTCTTCCTCCGTCTCCTCCTCAGTGCCCCTCCTGAACTGATGCACTCTCTCCTCCTGGTCTCTCTCTATTTATACCGCAGCAGCACGTTCCCCCCCCCTTTTTTTTTATCAGAACACACTCACTTTCTACTTTCTTTGTTACCATGTGTCCACAAACCTCCCACTCATTAATTACCAGCAGATGTTTACGGCACATATACACCACACACACATTATATGCACACACAACAAGCATATTTGTTGCAGTGTTTGTCATTCCCCCTTGCACTGCTTTGCAGACAGTGCCCCAGAGTATACAGTGTGCACTCTTTCAGATAACATTTGTTTCACGGGGTGCCATTTGACTCTATCTGTAGATCGTGCTGATGACACCCTATATAGGACAACCAGGCTCTGGCCTATTGTCTAACATACGAGCAGCTACATGCGTGTGCATGAGCAAAAACATAAACCTTTGACCCCGCTGCTAAAGAAGTAATATGAAAGGACAGGTTTGTTTCTTTATAGTTAAGGACTGATATTATATTTTAGCCTTCAAACAGAGATCTTGGCTGATTGTCTTTTGCTTACAAATGACTAATTTTAAAAGTCACTGAAGCATGTCACTTGCTTTATTCAATTTCATGTCCTTTAATTAATGAATCATCATGGGAACAACATTAGTCCAAATAGGATTTCAAATGATTCAGTGAACTTTATCTAATTTTTCTTATAAAAGTCTCTTCGTGTGTGGCGTGCGTCATTGTGGGGTTTATTTTAGGAACACAAGAGACGACGCAACATCTAACAATATCTGAAGGCCACCTGATTAAATTTGAGCTCATTATGTTTTTTCTTCTTTGTTGTGGGTTGTGTTTGAAGAAGCCACCTTGAATCCTGTGATAGCATAAGCTCATATGCGCACACACACACACACACACACACACACACACACACACACGCACACACATGCGCACGCACACACACACACTGCGATTTTTTTTAACCCTCGTTCATCTGATCGGCCATTGGCTAGTCATATTTGATTTGAAGCATAGGAACAGTGTACGTGTGTGAGTGAGTGTTAGAGCTATATAAGAACCAATCTGTCTTGATGTCAGAAAAGTTTTGTTTAAAAAAAACAAACAGTTAGAGTCAATGTAATCCATTGTAATACACTTACACGTAGTTAAATAAAAGTAAACAGAGGTGTTAGCTCTGTTTGTCATAGAGAAAATCATTTTTATTAAACCTGTCCCAGGAATGCACCCACAGCAAAGTACTGCTATGCTGAGTTAATGGGAATTCTCACACTGGAAAAACTGACATTTAGCTTACATGACTTTATTGAAGGATTGGTGACAGTTGATCACGGTGGACTGGAATTTTTGTGCACTGTCTCATCATAGATTTATCATCCAACAACTTTTCTGCTGGTCGTTATGGGCGAGGGCTCTGCTTTATTGTGTTTGTCAGTTTGTTAAGTCTACCTTTAAAAAAATTGAAGGGAGCAATAATCACAAAGTACGGTATGATTCGTTCATAGGGAGCACGTCCATTATCTAATTGAAAACCTGCAAAATATAAAAAGAAATTAAAAAAGAAAGAATGAAAATAGGAGATAACCATCTTTCCTACCGGCTCCACCAGTTTTGCATTTGACACATTCCTTCCAGCCTATTCATATAAGATATTGCATAATAAAATGTCCTTTGAGGAATGCAGTGGGTGGACTCTTTGTTGAAGTCAAATTGCATGATAATACTATGTATAACGACAATAAAGGCTATTCTATTTTATGGGAAAAGATACTTAATAGTCAGACATTAAATAAAATAAAATTTCGCATTTTGCATTCCTACCAGAAAAAAATGGGAAAAGAAAATCTCCAGGAGAGCAGATGGGGAACCAGAATATTACCTAAAGTCCTTATATTTTGTTTAATTTTTTTTTAATTGTTGAAATGTAAAAAATAAATAAATAAATGATTGGAAGAATAAAGAGGAGGAAGTGAAAGACCTGACTTCTTCTCTGGTAAGACAAACACTGACAGCAACGCCTATTTGCTCATGAAGCAGGATGTTTCCATGCAGTCAGATCCTCGTTTAAAGAGAAAACAAACAAAAAAAACAAAACAATGCACGTCTTTACTGTGTCAGCTGTTTGTAACAAGATTGTAATTGTGTACTTGTGTACATGCCTGCGTGTGTTTGAGAGAAAGAGTGGACAGACAGCTGAAGCCGATATTCACTCATTTTTTTTATTTGCGTCATTCAGAGTATAAAGAGATCATTCTGAAGCTTAATCATTTACGTATATATTTTAAAAATTTGCTATTTAAGAATTGCAATCATGTACTTGTAAAGATTTCCATTGGCACCATATTTATTTTGCAGAACGTCTCACGTCACACAGGCCTTTTTTCAGGGATGAAGCAAGGTCAGAAGTCAGTGCCGGACTCTGTAGGAATATGTCTGATATTTAGTTGACATTATAAAGCACAAGAACAACCGAATATCAAACATATCACACAGCTTCTGGCAAACCAGGAAGAATCCTGCAGGCTGGAAAAACCTGTTGCACAAAAGAAACATGAGGCAGTGAGGTAAAAAAAAAAAATTAGGAAGTGACAAACATCGCATAATCAGTCAGATTGTTGAGCTGAATTTAACTAATACTGACTTGAACAACCTTCTCCAGAAAGAAAAAGACAGACCAGAGGCCCAGAGGGCGAGGGAGCCAGAGATCGTGTTGGCATTTGAGATCAGCGTCTCTGTTAGCTTCAGGAAATACAGTTAGTGCAAAGGCAAGAGAAGAGGAATGATCTACATAAAGAAACTCTCTTGATAGCAATGAAACAAACAAAAATAAAGATACTCACTCATTCTCTCTATGCGCAGGTGGAGTCCCAGCATCCCATCAGCAGGTCCTTCGCAAAACTGGCATGCTGATTAATAAAAAGTAGGAAAATAATAAAAATGTTGTCGAATGTGTGCGAGTCTGTGAGC